GGTGGTCACTGTGTGACCTTATTTCAATCTTTCCTTATTCCCTTCTGTTGTTTTACTAAACTAACCTTTTGTGTCTTGGTTTGAATTAGATTGTAGGCACGTCAGGGCAGGACTGCATCTTCCTGTGCGTTTGTACAGTGCCCTGAATAATAGTCCTTGGATCCTGACTATACCTTTTAGGCACTACTGTAATACAAAAAATATATCCATCCTATGTGATGAAGAATAGATTGAATAAATTCAAACAAGACTCTTTAAGGAGACAGGTGTAAACAATCGGCTTACAGTGAACAGGAGCTCAGCCACAACTTTGTGACAGGATTGAGTAAACCCTTTGTGAGATATGTTAATTCCCCAACAAATCAAGAGCTTCTTCTCCTTCCCCTCAAGTCTGTAAATATGAACAGGCAAACTAGTGCTGCAGTACTTCAATATTAAGTCATACGCTTGGATCCCTTAAAGCCACCAGGACACAAGTGCTTTACTAAATACAAGTGATTTGCTAACTGGGGCCTAGAATTTGAGAGAGATTAATTCCAGTGTGCACTCAAAACTTGTCCTGTCAATCATTTTCTTGTCTGGAAATACAGAATATGGTAAGCATGATGTTGGACTATTTTTCTTTAAACACTGGGATGTCTCTGATTTTAACTGAAGCCACCTGATTTTAACTGCAACCAACTGGTACTTTAAAACTGCTACAAGAAATTTACCATGAATAATGAGATTGGAAATTACAATTTTTGGGCATAGAAAATCCATAAATTCTTAGCTCTCCGGATTTAGATTCTTTCTACAGTACAAAATTAGCTGCATTCATAAAATCATAATCACAGAAAATTAGGGCTCAAAGGGACCTCCAGATGTCATCTAGTCCAAACCTCCTGCTTGAGAAAAGATCATCCTTATCCAAAGTATCTCATCCAAACCACAGTGTAAACTCTAGATAAGACTACCATCAACCCTGACGCAACACAGACCTAACATCCTAGCCACTGGTAAAGCAGAGGAATGATGGCAGCCAAGGTCCTGCTTCTGTGAAATGCTCATAGAAAATTAGGATTGGAAGGGACCTCAGGAGGTCATTGAGATCAACTCCCTACTCACAGCAGGACCATACCCAACTAGATCATTCCAGCCAAAGCTTTGTCTAGCCAGGTCAAAAACCTTCAAGAATGGAGATCCCACCACCTCTCTAGGTAACCTGTTCCATTGCTTTACTACCCTTCTTGTGAGAGAGTTTTTTCTAATATCTAACCTCAACTTACTTTGCTGCAACTGGAGACCATTGCTCCTTGTTCTAGCATCTGCTGCTACTGAGACAGTCTAGCTTCATCCTCTTTGTAACCACCCTTCAGGTAGTTGAAGGCTGCTATTAAATCCCCCCTCAGTCTTCTCTTCTCTAGATTAAATAAGCCCAGTTCCCTCAGCCTCTCCTCATGAGTCATGCCCCCCAGCCTCCTAGCCATTTTTGTTGCCCTCCACTGGATTCTCTCCAATTTGTCCACATCCTTTCTATAGTGGGGGGCCCAAAACTGGACACAGAACTCCAATGGGGCCTTATCAGTGCCAAATAGAGGGAAATAATCACTTTTCTCAATCTGCTGGCAACATTTCTACTATTGGAGCCCAGTATGCTGTTAGCTTTCTTCACAAGGCTACACTATTGGTTCATATTCAGTTTATTGCCACTGTAAGCCCAGGTCCTTTTCTGCAGAGCTGCTACTTAGCCAGTTGGTCCCCAGCCTGTACCAGTGCATGGGATTGTTCCATCCTAAGTAGAGGACTTTGCATTTCTCCTTATTGAACTTCATGAGATTTCTTTTGGTCCAATGTTGTCATTATATGCTCAAGAGATCCTGGGTAGAGGGCCACGCCTCCTGCAACAGAAGAAGGTAAAACTCCCCAGAGTCTGTACCAATCTGACCGTGGGGTAAAATTCCTTTCAGATCCTAAATATGGCGATCAGTCTGATCCTGAGCAGAGGGACAAGATCCTCTGGCTTTGGTCCCAGCAGAAGCATTGGCATACCCCAAAGTCCCAACCTTGGCTGTAGCCAACATCCAATGCCTCTGAAAAAGGCTTAAAAACATTCTGAAACATGTAGCAGAAAAAGGGGTGGGGGGAGGAGGAAAACAGCAGCAAAGCCCAGATGCATGGGAAATACCCATAGTAGAACACAGACATAGCTACATGTAAATCATCCCCAACCAGTGGCTGTCCAGCCTGTTCTTGAACACCTCCAGTGATAGAGTCCACAACTTTCCTAGGCAGTCTGTTCCACTGCCTTACTATTCTAACAGTGACTATCCAATCTTAACTTACTTTGTTGCAAATTCAAGCCATTTGTCCGCATCTTCCTCTCTGCACCGAGACAAAACGTCATTTCCCTCTTCTTTATGGTAGCCCTTCAGGTATTTGAAGACTCCAACCATGTCCCCTCATAAGTACTCTTTCCATAAACTGAACAAGACTAGCTCCTTCAGCCTCTCCTCATATGACTTGCTTTCCAACCCTGTTATCATCTTTGTTGCCTACCTCTAGACCCTAACTTCTCCATGTCCTTTTTAAAATGTGGAGCCCAGAACAGCATACACTACTCCAGGTGAGGCCTAACCAGTGCTGAGTAGAGAGGCACCTTCTGTGTCTTGCACCTAATCGCTTCTGTTGATGCAGCCCAAAACTGCATTTGCCTTTTGTGCGGCTGTCACATTGCCGACTGATATTGAGTCTGTGATCTACCAAGGCCCCCAAGTCCTTTCCTATAGGACTGCCGTCCAACCAAATGTCACCCATTTTATATTTGTGTTTTGATTAAACATCTGATTTGACTGTATTTGATTATTGTAACACCTTGCTTTTTTCTGCATTTAACTTCATCCTGATAGCTCTAGCCCAACTTTCCAATCTATCAAGGTCCTTCTGAATTGTACTCACATCCTCCAACAGTTTGCAGTCCTTCCAATTTTCATGTCATCTACAAACTTGCTCAGGAAGCTTTTTATGCTAGCATCCAAATTGTTAATAAACACATTGAATGGCACCAGGCCCAGGACAGACCCCTGTGGGACTCCACTCAAAACCTCGTGCCAGTTTGACATGGACCTATTTATAATTACCCTTTGTTTCTAGCTACCGAGCCAGTTGTGTCCACCTTGTAGTAGTTCTCTCATTTATTTATGAGGTCATGCAGAACCTTGTCAAAAACCTTTCTGAAGTCCAGATACACTGTATTCATGGCCTTCCCTTCATCCATCCAAGTAGTTAATTTGTCAAAGAGGGAGATCAAGTTGGCTTGATATGATTTGTCATAAATCCATGCTGGCTGTTTGTGAGCAGCCTTTCCTTCTCTAGATACTTGCAAATGGTCTTTTTTAGGATATGCTCCAGTAACTGAAGTGAAGCTAACTGGTCTGTAGTTTTCCAGTGTTGGCACTGAATTTATGACCCAGATACCTTGTTCCGGGCAGACCCAAAACCCGCAGATTGACCACAACCACTCTACCCAATAATAGGTGAACTGTATTGATACACAGTGATAGCAGATAAGAATATTGCAAACAATTCTTTCTCTACCAGTCCCAGGGTTCACAGAGTCAGGGTACATCTGGCCACTATGCGAGCTTCACTCAGGTTCTCTCATCATTGTCACATGTCAGCAGCCTGGAGGTCGAAGGCCAAGCCCACCTTCCCCCCCACCATACAAACACACAGTGGGTGGGGTAGATGAGACTGGCTAGTGATATACCCTATATCCATGGTGGCCTCTGGTTCCCCTCTTGGGGACTCTTTGCTGGTCTGAAATCCCTCCTTTTATATTCTTTTTCCCCCTTCTGATGACTTCATTTCTGGGCATTGTTGATTGGTCTTCCTGTGGTTGTCATACTGTCCATGTTCTGTCCTGTCAGTATATTCTTTTGTTTCACAAACCCATCACATGCACACATCCTAAGTTGGTTCTTTCCAGTTTCTCCTAATTTGGTCTATCTACCAAAACTGGAAATCTTAAGGGCCCTGCAGTTAGGCACCATGACCTGGCCTACATGGCAGAGTCCCTTATCTCATGTTATGGAACAGTGTGGTACATGTCTTCAATTTCCTAGCCTGTGTGTCTGCTTGCCTGTGTCAGACAGAGTGGTCCTTGAAGGAAACTTTTTCACAAACAGGCTTTTTAGAAATCAATTAACCCTTACCATTGCTCTGGACCATTGTTTTAATGCATGTCTATTTTACCTACAAGCCAGTTCCCAAAATCAAACCACTAAATATCATTTTCTAGTCATCACCTGGGTCTTCCTTTTTGCCTTTTTTAAAGAGGGGTATTACTACAATGGTTCTTTTCCAGTCCTCTGGTACCTGGCCTGTTTCCCACAACTTCATGAAGATCACTGTCAAGGGCTGAGAGATCTCCTCTGCCAGTTCCTTCAGTACTCTGGGATGAAGTTCATCCAGCCCTGCTGACTTGAATTAATTCAGACTCAACAAAAGCTCTCTGATCACCTCCTTTATTCTCTCCTTCCTCAGTTTGCTCCCTTCTTTATACAGATAATCCTTATTAGGTGTCTGGCTGCATCTGGAATCCTGTCACAAAGCCACCTTTCAGTATATAAGCCTCTGCAATTCCATTTTGTTGAACCTGCTTCCAAGAAGAGTGGGAGAGAGGCAGCTATGGAAGTGAACTTCAAAGCTTAGCTGCATATCACATGACTAAAACATGATTGGCTTAATCAGTCAAAAGTTACAGCTGGTTGGGATAGTTCTTAATCTACAATGAAAAACATTACTCTGAAATAAATGAGGTTGGGTTTATAGTTAGTATTTAAAACAAGGTGTACACAGTATTGTAACACTGGGCACGTCTACATGAGATGCTACATTGCCATAGCATTAAGCTATGGCGACATAGCTCACTGCTACAGTGATGAAACATTGATGGGCATGAACTGTGACCATGTTGCCTTCCACCTTAAAACTTGAAATTGGTGTGTTTTGTCTTGCAGACCCCAAATGGATTATTGTTGACCCCAAGTCCACTGCTGTCCAGCATTCACTTTTGGAGCAGTCTTAGTCCTGTAGCTCCTTTGAGTCCTGCCAGGCTGCAAGGACCAAACACTTTGTTCCAGGTATGTTCTTCGTTTGTGAAGAGGTGGCACTCTGTTCCACATACTGAAAGGCCATCAGTATGTGGCCTGTACTGTGGGTTTTCAAAATAAGTTAATTAAGATAACAAGTGCTATTTGAGAGAGACATGCACTAGTTTGTAGGCAGAGTTTGACCACCTGCAGCACTGTCAAGACCTAGTGGGCAATGTTTCTTATGGAACAAGAACAATAGTAAATATTGCAGGGGGGAGAAGGAAAGCGATAATCCCCTGAGAACAACTGAAACTTCAAAAGCTCTGAAAGCCGCTCAACCTGATAGGAAAAACACTGGGAAAAGCCTTGGGAAAAAAATAAGATGACCAGGTATGGAAGACAGTACATGGATTCTTTAGTTCTTTTAAGATCACTGAAGCAATCTGGGGTCAGTTCCCAGTTCTGCCATAAAATACATGTCCATTTTGGTGCAAGTTGCTTAATCCCTCTGAACCCAAATTTCTCATCCATAAAATAATAGGACTTTCACGTGTCACAGGGTTTTGTAAAATATGTATAAGCAGAGCACATTTTAAGGGTAAAAAGCACCAGGAAGAGTGCTCAGGCCTCTAGACAATGGTGGCAAACAAGGTAAGTTAGGTCACATCTACAGAGTAGCACTGCAAAGCATCACTTATGCAGGTAACAGCAGCCTACATTTTAGTCTCTAGCCCCCCTCAGTCTACCACAAGCCTTATGTTTTGAGAAATTTTAATTTGCCAGTTCCAGTGGTCCAACCCCTACTTAAAAAGGTGGGGAATCATGGCAGTGGATTTATTAGCATCTGCAGACAACTCGAGCTGCTGATGACTTGCATTGTTCTATTATAACTGAAACACCTTGAGCTTAAACTTTCAGTTTCTTAAGGATCTTTACTGCTTATTTCTTGAAGAGAAATTAAAATGCAGAACTACTAATTAGTGTCTTAAAGCTGTGGTTCTCAAGGTCTTTTATACCAAAACCCATTTGTAAACATGGATGACCAGTCCCAACTTGGTGCCCTTCACTCCCAACCTGCTGCCTCCACCCCCAGCCCTGCAGTGTGTGGGGCAGGTTGTGGGGGGGTGTCATGGGAGGCCCCAAGCAGCCTCTTGCAGGCTGGAACTCTGTCATAGACACCTCAGCTCTGAACCCCTAGAGAATGGCAGGGAGGGTGGCTATGTTATACAGCAGTCAGAGAGCTGGAACTATGGCAATCAAACACTTGTGTCCTCATCCATGGCCTCACTGGGGTTCTGGGCACATCCTTTCACCTATAACGTAGCTGTACATGCAGCAGAGAGGGCATATTACTTTGCTTGCTGGAACTTTGCCAGCCTGCAAGGGAAGAGCCATGGTTTCCCACATTTTTCTCTTTTAAAGGAGAATCTGTTTTTTAAGTTTGTTTGCAACCCTTTCATATATTCTTGTGACCCACAGGTTGAGAAATAGTCTTAAAGAATTCTGATATTATAAAAGCCTTTGTCTGTCCGTAACACTTTATTCGTACTCTGGTTGATTGTCTCGGCAGGCAATCAGAGTACATTCTGGACAGGAGATGATGGCGGCAGCATGCCACTATGATGGCGGGGATGGAGTGGGGGGAGAGGGGGCTAGGTCAGCGCTGCACCTGCCCCTTGACCCCCCTCTCCCCCGTCCCTGCTCCTTGGAGGTGGCAGTGGCACAGGGTGCTGGCTGAGGGGAATGCAGGGGATGGCGGGGCAAGCTTCCCCACTCCCCCCTGTTCCTGAGAGGCAGCTGGGGTGCTGGGGACAGCAGGGCAAGCTTTACCCCCCGACTCCTGGCAAGTGGCGGCGGTGCAGGATAGGGGTAGTGGTGCTCCATCCCTGCCCTTCCCCTGGCAGAGAGGGGCAGGTAGCAGGGAAGAGGGGAGCAAGGGAGAGGAAGAGGGGAGCGGGATGGGAAATAGGGGAATTTCCAGTAGCAGCAGCAGAGGGAGGGGAGTCAGGGACTGGAGGGATGTTGCATGCGGCTGGACATATTAGGCTAACCTATTTAACGATTTCTTTGCCTCCATTTTCCTGAGCAGGGACCAGATCAGCCCGCC